GCGGGCGGGAGCGGCGGAGGGCGGCGTCCCCGGGGTGGGCTGGCTGGCTTGGGCCTGCTGGTCGGCGACCGCCGGTGTGCGGGGCGGAGGTGGGGTGCGAGGCGTCGGGAACGTCTGCGCAGGGCGGCGTTTCTCGGTTTGGTCCGTCATGCGGTCCTTTGGCCTGGAGGAGTTTGGGAGTCTGGAAACCTCTTTTTTCTCGTGGACGGTTAAGGATTGTTCGGCTGCAGTGGCCAAGGAATTTCCTGAGATGCTTTTCTTTGGTTCTGAGGCTCTTCCGAACGTGTGGAGGAGGATTTTGTTCTGTCGATTGTTACACGTACAACCCTACTATTTTCTGGTTGGGGGTACGATAGCACAATGCCTTCATTGTTTTATTCTGTAGCTGAAATTGGTTGGAGTTTTATCTTTTGCATCCTTCTCCTAGAACCGTGAAGTTAGTCACTGTCCATATTCTGAGCAGAACCTGGGGGATCTGCCTTTTTTTTCCCGATGCAATGTTAGAGAGTTTAATTGAAATCTTACGTATGCTTGGACTGTGTATTTTTAATTTGTGTGAACACGTGCATTAATTCCAGCTTACACCTCTTGCAGCATTTGAAGCCTGGTGGAATACTGCAATGGCAGCTCAGATGACTGATGCTCATCGACGGTTCTTGCAGGTCCTGATGTCTCATGGGATAATGGAAGGATCAGAGGCTAGGAAATTACACAGGCGCTGCTGTGAAATCCATAAAGGTGTGTCTCTTTTTCAGAGAAAAAGCAGGGAGATGGAAGAACTACTTTTTTTTCCTGCTGCAGCTTACAAACAATTAGATTTCTGAAGACCATACACCATGTAAAAAAAAGTTTAAAAACTTAATGATGTGACTGTTCTCTCTCTTTCCTAAAGATAAAATAACACAGTAATGAGGAAACTTAAGTTTTAATCAGGTCAAACTCATACAGAGCACTTTTTATTTTAGCAAAGATGTTTTTTATAGGTTATACGTTTTTAAAAAAAAATCATTTTTTACACCGATAGTGCTGAAATTTCCAGAATGTTTTTCTTCATACCTAATTGGAAGGATTTCCTTTGGAATATATGAAGCATATGCTGTTACCCATCTTGAGTAATCTGTCACATCTGACCGATTACACAGTCAGCTGGTTAGTCTTAATATGTGCTATACCAAGCTGAATTTTAGGGCACATGTAACAAAAATTTGGTTGCATACTATCAAATCTGTTTGAAGTTGATGTTCAGACTTAAATAGTACAGACATGTGTACTCAACTAGATAAGGATTTTCCGAGAGATCTGCTTACAGATCAGAGATCTGTGTTTCATCTTCACTAATTTTGCAAATGTGCTGGGCACAAACTCAAATAAAGCTGTAATGAACAATGTGTTTAGCACTAGTTAATCAGTAGTATTAGATGTGCCAGTTGCTGGTTCCCCAAAGATAGTAAAAGAATAAAATTCCTCTATTTTCATCTTTCCCTTATTTATGAACAAAGTTGAAAAGGACAAGGAATGTGTAAGAACAAAAAGTGTCACTTAAAAGGAAACACCCAAATGCTGTTCAAATCAGTGATTTTAAACCATTACTACTGGAAGGCAGATAACTCCAGCAAATGTTGTTTAAAGTACACGTTCTGAGATCTAATATGCACTGAATGTATGTCTCGAGTTATTTTCTAGTTCTCTAGTATTTACAACTTTAACAATAAAAGCCACCTTAACAGTTATTTGAAGGGTTTAGTCAGTTCAGGATATCTGTGTGACTGTTGAGAGCTGAAGCAGTAACTGCAGGGGAACCGATCTATTCGGTTGCCAGTGGCTAACCAGGATAACTTTAGCATCAGCATTGCTAACTATTCTTTCTGTCTGTTAAGAGAGAGGGGACTGTAGTCGCCAATGCACACAACCTGTTGTGAACTCCATCTTGCTTTGTTGCCACAAGTGGAGTCCTTTCTGGGCGATGGCACTATTTATGTATTTTCCTTAGTTAAAAGGAGTCAAACAGATTCCATAGGTTTGCAAACTCTCCAGAGCCAAAGGAACTTATTTCATCACCTGCCCAAATTTCCAACTGAAAAAATGGAAGCGTGGAAAAATAACGTTGCTTTTTACAGGTTGACTCCTGTATTTGTGAGAACCAAGCCGCTGTGATTTGTAAAAGAATTTATCATAAATGCTAGAGATGGCCTAAGCCAATAGCATGACTACAATGAGTTTATTGTGTGTTAAGAACAAAGAACCTTAAGGAAAAAAAACTTCACAGCTAGATTGTGTTTTCAGTATGCAGGATCAGTGAGCGGTACTGCAGTAAGAACTGACAGAGTTACTATTCATTAGGAAGGTTTATTTAATAGAAGGATTTAGAAAAAAATGGCTCCATTGCAACTGCTGCGTACCTACCAAGTACTTGATATTTTTTCTGCATAGTGACCATTGATGTGCAAGGGAAAAGTCTGTGAAATTACACAGATACAGTGTGGGAGTTTTAACTGTTAAAGTTTTATCAAATGCTCTACCTAGGAAAGCTTTTTGTCATGTTGGGAGGCAAAAGGATGTTGAACTTGACTCACTGAATGGAACACATTTGTTTTATGAGCAAAAGAACCAGCGATTTGACAATCCCATTCTTGTTAGGGGCAAAGTTAACAGTATCACAATTTACAAGATCATGGCAATAGCATTTTTATGCTCAGCCTGACTGGACTGTTTCTAGATGAAGTTCTGATTTTGATGTAGTTTTCTTCAGATACATCTTAATACTGCTTACTGTAATCTGAACAATAATTTTCAAATCGGATCAAAGCTAATGTTACTAAAACTAGCTTATTTGAATTAATTCCTTTTTCTTGCAGGTTGTAAGCATTACATAACAAGGCTGTCACCTATCCATGACATTGGTTTCCTTAAATACAAAAGGATAAAAGAGCTGCATCAAGTGAAGTCAAGTCATATAGTAACCAGCCTGTGCAGCCTCTGAGCAAAGTGATCTGAAAACTTTCCTTCCTGGTGTTTGGCATATTCTCTTGTTCTGGTTTATTTCAAAATCCTAAGCCTTTTGGCCAGGAGGTACCTTTTTGCTTTTCATGTATCACCTGCATGCTTTATGTTAGCAGACAAGTGTCTATGCTAAAATCTGCATGCAGCTCTGAAGAAGCAGCTCCAAACGTCTATCAAAGTGCTTTGTAGGACCACTAGAAAGTGTACAATTCAGTTAGGATACAAATTGCAGGCTTGCCAAGGAAGGTTCTTACAATTGCTAATACTTTTTTACTGGAATCCCTTAGTGCATGCTGTTTCTGTCTGCATTGTGTTATGGCTTCTCCAGTTATGAAACACATTATAGTAGAAACTTAAGTGCAAAGTTAAAGACATCTTGCAGATCTCTAGCATTACAGAATAGCTAAGGTGCCAAAACATTCTCAGCATCCTTTCTGGGATGGCTTTGTGTGTTGTCTGTGGGTGCAAGCTGGCTTCTCCTTTGTTTGTGTAGTCAGGGAAATGGCAGTATCTGAGTTGGCTATTATTGGATCCCTTTACAAGACAATACATAGACTATTATTCTGACCCTGACCCCAGCCTGAAATCAGGAAACAGTAAAAATAGGAGAGTTTGTAGTTATTTTTCCTGCTCTCTTCCCAGCCATCTGAAGTTCTTTAATAACTGAAGCTCTGGGTTTATGTTACTCTAAATAGTACAGCTGGAAATATGGTGCCCCTCTCCTGGAAAACATGTTTCTCTCTGTAATAGAATGACTTTTTTTTTTTTTTTTTTAAACAGATCATGCAATAATATTGAGGTTCATGTGCTCTCTATCCTTTGATAGATTTCCGAGTTTATCTATTTTTTCTTGGATTCAGCACATCTTCATTTGACGAGTATTTAAATATAACAATATTGGGTATTTTCGTGACCAGCATTTTATTTTCCAAAGACACGGTCGTTCACAAGCGTTTTCCTTGCAGCATTCTTCAAGGCCAGAAGATTAACAGAAAAACACAGATATATTTTCTTTTGCTGTATTTTTGATGAACCTAAGGATGATTTGGAAAGACAAAATCAGGTTGCCTTTCAAACCAATGGCTGTATTTACTGAAGGACTATATTAGGTAATATTTATAAAATTAATTATAAAATGTAACTCTATGTTAAGTTACAGTGCAGTTCATGAGAAAAATGGCTGATACAGTCCATATATGAAAGGATGTTTAGAAAAATAGAAGAATGAGAGAAAACTGCTTTTTTCCTGCCTATTTGGATGTACAGAAGGAGTGTACTGGTTAACCATTCATTAATGTTCATTGTATCAGACTGGCTTTTGACTAACTATGTTTTGTATTTTGTTTCACTGGTTTGGTATCTGAACTCAGAAGGAAATAACCATTAGTGCCACTTTAATCTACAGTCATACCAATTTCTTAAGCATAATATATTTCATGCTTGGCTGTTGAAAGACCCACTAAATAAACTCTATAAGAGAAACAGGGATTCATAGAATAGACAAGTATTTTTGCTTTACATCTTTTGTATGTCTTTTAGTATTTAGTATTCTAGGAAGAGCCCCAGCAGCTGCTCCTGTGTGTGACCCAGTGTGCTCATTATGCTTATATCTTGTCTGCAAAGTTCAGCTAGAGCTTAGGGGAATTTTTCTTATCTGTGGTGGAATTTGCAGATAACCATCTGTTTTATCAGAGAAGTGTTTGCATTGCAAAACAACAGAAAAATCCACTGTACTGTTGTTTTGGTATTTCGCTTTATAGTGCATCAAATATGTCAAATCTAGAAAAATAAAACATGGCTTTTGGCTCCTCAAACTAGGCATTTTTGTGTAGACAATGAAGAATATCACAAAGCACTGACGGAAAAGGGACTGAGGAAGATCAGTGGGAGTATAGACAGTGAGATCACACAATTCCTCAGCAGTACTTTGCTATAGTGTAGTGAACACTTTTAAGTAAATGCATTTCAGTTATTTTTCTTGCGTGTTGTGGGAGAAGTGAATGCTGAGGAAACATTTTGGTGAGGATGAGATGAGGTTTTCTGGTTCGTGGCTGTACTTTCTCCCATCTCACCTGCATCATATTGCCTATTACTAGTTCTGGAAGCCATGCTCCTGCCAGGCTTGGTAGTATTCTTGTATCTTGTCACAATGCTACTCACTCTACAGGGACTCTGCTGTTTTCACTGTGGATTTGTATCTAATTATCCATAGAATTTAAGGTCAGAACGAAGTAATCTATTTTTGTGTCCCATGTAACGCAGCCCATATTTTCTGCTAAATATTTTTTGCTGCATATCAGATGCCTTGTAGCTGGATTGAAACATAAAATGTACTCATTTAGATGTTCTGGTAATGAAGACTGACTATATGCCTTGGGTCAAAATTCAATACTCCCTGTGTTAAGAAGACTGCAAAAAGATGGGATATGTCAGTCTCAAGTTGTACTGAACCAGCATTATAGCAGAGCGTAGGTGTTGGTGGCCTAGTGGTTACGCTTTAAAACTGAAGTCTTGGCTGTGAGTCCTTATTGAAGTACCAACACTGCAGTGCTGGTGAAAATCCATCTGTGCTGTTTGAGTAACTATTTTCCTTCCCTAAACTCCTTTGTAGTCTGATTGGTTTAGATTGTTGTGTTGCAGTATGCTACTTGAAGCAGCAACTTGTTTTTCTTCCCAGTGATTCTGTTTTTCATGGGAAGGCTGAAACAGCTGTCATAGATGTATGTTTAGAAAGAGGGTTAATGTGAATGGTTTCATGAGAGTTTAAAATAATGTAAAGCAGGATACATATAAATTCAACAGTGAATGACGTAGTCTAGTCCATAGTTCAAACGTCATTAAGCTCCCCGAGGCAGGGATTGCCTGGTTTTATGTATTTATGTATAATACCTTGTGCTAATACAAGGAAGTGTTCTGGCTTGGTTTTGATGTTGTTAAACAGAAGAAAAAAAAAAAGGTATTGTACAACATGTTGCTGCGAAGTGTAATTAAGAATGTTTCATTTTTAAAGAACTTTGTAAAATAAGCTTTTAGATTCTCTTACCAGTAATGGTCCTGTTGCTTCAGTTTTTTCTAGCTATAATGAAGTTAGATGGCAGCATTTTCAAATCCTGATAGGGAGCTTATTATATTAATCATTGTGGTACTAGGAGAGTAACTGAAGAAAATGGGGGACCCCCTCCCCCCAAACTCCACCACGTTTTTTTCCTTAAAGAAATAAACTTTTCTGAATGTTTTTTCTCTTCTTTTATTCTTCTGTGAAATGAAAACTGAGCACCAGTGACTTAAAATCCAAAGTAATTTGTCATGTTGTTCTTCATGATTTGTTCTAGTTTTTTGTTGAATTATAAAGTTTGCAAACTTATTAACTCTATGCCAAAAACTGTTGTATAGTTACTAGTTTTTTAAATACAGTTTGGTCTTGAAAATCAGCCATAAATATCAACACCGGTCATCAGTAGCTTATATTACATCTGCTCAGTGTCATCAAAGTAGAAGAAAAACATGACATTTTCATAATGCTGCCCTGCAGACTAGAATTGTACTTAATCTTCTGTTTACAGAGAACATGGAAGCTGAAGTACATAGATATAACTGTGTTTAGGTTTTTATATGAGTAAAGGTCCAATCTCTTCTATTTTAAAGCAAGCATTCACTCAGCTTATTTGTAGGCTTTTGCTGTAAACATGGGAGCTCTAATTTTATAATGGTGCTAGTATATTTTTAAATTTATCATGAAGCTGTGGCATCTCAGGCTAATCTAAGTAATAAAGATTCCTGTTGTTCGCTTGTCTTTAAGCAAGAAAATTTAAAACAGTGCCTATTGAAAAGGGATAATTAACCAAGAGTGCAAGTTTGTTTGTTATGCAATCTGCTGTTCGTAGTTTGCATACAGGCACATTCAGAAAAGTTTCCGGTTTCTCTGAGCACCTCTGCTTTATCATCAGTGAGGGATCTGTTCAGCTTTTCTGTGGAAAATATTTATTATTAAGAATTTGTTTAAATTTAGGAAAAAAACCCACCCCAAGCCCCTGAGTATTTGTGTTCCATTTATTTACCGTTCACTGTTTCCTATTTGCTCATCTGCTATCTGTCATTGAACTGAAAGAATTTATTCTAAAAGAAGAGGCTCCCAAGCAGTGTTCTCAGGGTAACACATAATGAGCTCTCTTTCTAATGCTGTCACACGCTATCTTTATTAAGTGTTCAAGGCTGAGAATTGTTTATTGACAGAAAGAATAATACCTGGTTCCTGCATATACTTGGTTTTAAATGCTATGAAAAACTTCGTTGTGTTCATAATTGGGTACTGGAATAGCAATTTGCTTTAATATTTATTTGACTGAAAACACATTACAGTAAGTACATCTGTGATACAGTATTAGTTGAGATTGCATTTTATGCCCTAGAGAAGGAAATTATTTATTTTCTGTTACAAAAAATAATTTACAGAAATTGTAACTAAGTCTTAGTTTTTTGAGGTTTTGGGGTTTGTTTGGTTGTTTTTTTTTTTTTTTAAGGTACTGCATTTTACAGGGCAAGTTATTGGAAATTAAGACTTTTCAAACAGTTTAATCCAGTATTTTGGAAGTAGGGTAGTCCTGGCTCTAGAATGCATCTCACATACTCATGTTACAACAAGGTCTTCTTAAATACAGTCTTTCGAAGTAGTATTGACACCTCTGAGAGATTTTACCAGAAGAAAAAAGGACAAAGAGATTCCTGTACCTGCATAGTCAGAATACAAAGATTGTGGATACCTACTGAATGAAGATCACATTAGTTTATCTAATTTCTCATCAAATCTGTTGACAGTAAATAACTTGTTTTTCAGTAGTAATGTATTTGAATAACCTGTTTCTATCCCATCATTTGCTATGGCTGCCTGTACAAGAACTGTTTCAGAGAGGTAAGCTAAAGCTTTTGCAAATAGTAAAGGGCATTTATCATTTCTTCTCAGTCTGGAATTGTAAACTGACCAACTTTTTAGATGTTAAAATTGTTAAGTGCAGCTTTTGCTGTGGTCTGTCCCCCATTCATTTTTTATGGAGAGTTTATATCCCTTTTTTTCCACAGAAGATCTACTAGAGCAGCCATTCATCTCACATTAAAATGTTACAGCTGTTGTACAAAAGAATATTCTTCTGTTGCCCTCTTTGAGCTTTGTCACTAATGCTCACTGGCTTTGATGCGTGCGGAGTGTTTCCTGCTGACAGGTGCCAGGCAGGTGGCACGACAATTTAACAAAATTATACTTACTTTAATATTATACTTACTTTATTATTGCTATTGCTGTTTGTTGGGGTTTTTTTCACTTAAGGAGTCTTACGTATCAGAATCACAAACTTTCTGGGCAGGAGCCTCCTGTGACTGATGTTTTTGCATTGTGCTACACTATAAAGTATAGTGGGGTTTTGAGAGTGGGACATCTGATGCTGTTTACACAAGTGATTGCCTCTTGTAACTGAGAATAGTATTAAGTTAGTGATAACGGGTAGTATTTTTGAGTATTTTGAGTATTATTTTTCTAAAGTTATAAGCTGTTACTTAACTGTTTTTTAAACCCTAGCCTGCTGAAGTCAACAGGAGTTTTGCCACTGACATCATTTTGTTTTGGATGGAAACTCCTGAGGGTGTATGCTGTTGCTGTGCAAGCAAAAGCCATAGCACATGCTTCTGCAGAGTGACTCCAAAGTCCATCTTGATTATGACTGTGATAGAACTTCTGCTAGTATTTCATTTGTTTGTAGAACATGACACAAGATATTACCTGTATTTCTCAATGCTAGAATTTAAGTTTTTTGGTATGTAACTTGATCATTTATATGCCATTAATTTGTGAAACATAACACAAAGAAACAAGGAATCCCTTGTGTGTAAACAAAAGCATGCAAGTATATTTTTGTATTGTGCATAATTTTTCCTGGTCATGTTTTATTTTCAGTTAAACTTAGTTCAAGTCACTGTAATTAATGGATTAATGTGGTGGGTTCCATACAGCAAGGCAGAATGCCTGGACTCTCTCTCTAAACTCTGACTTTGAAGGAGCAGAGCTTCTCTGAAGGCTAGTAGTCAGCAGCACAAGAAAATTATATGTCTGCTGAATGTAGCAGATCTATTTGAATTCTGCCTCACTAACATTTAGCTCTTTTACCTAGGAAAAAAATGTTTCAGCAGATAAAACATAAAAAGATCTGCCTGATCTGTAGTTGTTTGGGTTTTCTGAGTATGTGCTTTTTCTTATCTTCAGTCTACTACGCGCATGATAAACTGGATGATTTCATCAGTACCATTAACAGCCATCTACAGCCTTTGTTTATGCAGATCCGGAAAGGAATGTCAGAAGGTGATGGGAGAGCACATTATGCTTTAGTAAGTATGTGATGTGCTGCCATCGCGTGGTTTGGCTTCTCATGACCAGCGCATGAATGGCAGAGGGAGCCTCAGCCTCCCTGTCTCCAACTTAAAATTAACCTTTGAATAACGTGCCAGTAAAAGGTCTGCACACCTTCCAGTTGTAAATGGGCAAAAAAAAAATCTAGCTGTATGTGTGCATAATAAACATAAGGCTGCCCTAACTGCCACCTTTGGATGTTAGATTGACTTACCTTAGGGTCACAGTATAATAGAACTGATATTTAGAGAAAACAGAGAGAATCTAGAACTGAAGGCTGCATATGCCAGTAGGCTTCTTACTCTTAGCAGCGTCTTGTGTGGTTTATGCGCGGCTGTTCCACTGTTATGTTGACAGCTGCTGTAGAAGCTACTTGTAGAATAGGGAAGTGGGAGGATAAACTGCCAACAGCCTAGGTGCGTGGACATGGAACATGGCAGCAAGGACTACAGCAGCATCTGATTTATTTAGCATAAACATTGCTTAAGTGCTGAAGTGAGATTTCTTTTTCACAGGAAACTTTCTTTCTCAAGGTGAATTTTTAAACTAGAAAACACAGAGAGCCCTCCAACATTAGTTTTCTTTTTCTCTTACTCAAAAATCAACCCAGCATAAAACAGTTGCTAAGGAATGGCCTATAAAACATTTACCTAGATGTTCTGCAATGTGCATGTCAGAGACGGAAGGTTATATAGTAATTTCAAAAGACCATACAGGAAGTATTCTAACATTAGCTGCTGCTTTTAACCTTTCTGGGTCATTCTGCCAATTAACTTAAGCTAATAATAAATAGCAGCAGCATGTGCAATAAGAATATGAAATATAGGTGACTGTTTTCCACAGTGAAACAAAAAAGTGTGTTATGACATAGTGCTACTGTCCAGCACAGTATCCTGGTGTAATATATTAGTTCTACTATATAGAACTAATATTCTATATAATTCTGTAGCGGGGAGGCCGAGTTGTTTAAGAGCTTGGACTGGGCAGAGGCAGCTATGGAGAACACATGGCTGGAAGATCAGGGGTTACAAAGAAGGGACTTGAGAACCATTGAGTGCCATCTTTAAGGAACAGCTACTTTCATGCTACTTAAAGAAATTACGTTTCTGTTAATTGTAAGATGATGTATTCTTTAGCCCAGAGGATCTTTTACAATTTATGGTGTAGAAATACAAAGGCACTTTGATTTCAGTTAAGTATTTTTTTTGTAGGTGAATTTGGCAGAAACTGAAATAACTAAAATGGCATCGGACTATACAGAAAATGAATTAGAATTGTTCAGAAAAACAGTAAGTATGTCAGTAATTAGTTAGTAAATCACATTATTTGTGAAGGTACCATCTTAAAATGAATGGAAATGGAAATGAATGGAGATGTGGTTTAGGAACTAGTTGCCATCTTACCTAAGTTTATCCTAAATCGAATGGGAGGGTGGGGATGGGAGTATATGCAAGTAATCATTCCCTGTTGAAAGTCAGTTATCAGTAAACTGAAATCAGCAATAAGGGAGTGCTCCTTGGAGTTAGTGACTTGACATATCTGCTTTTAGTTAAACAAACACCTTCAGGATTTTCAGTTGTGATTGCTACAACCTTCAAGTGCCAGGTAGGTTCCGCAGTACTAATGACTCCACAGTGGACAAACTTACTTCAGTAGTCAGAGATTTTTCCTCAAAAGAACCTTGACAAAAAGCAGGTAAAAAGCAACACAACTGTCACCCCTGAGTATGCTCAAGGGCCCCTGAATGCAGCTTCATTTAGGCAGCACTGTTCAGTTCTATTTGTGGAATTGTTTTCTTGGCAAAGATTAAAACTGTCAAGCTAACAATGACTGTTTCAGCTTTTGGCCTTTGTTCTACAATCCTGGTTCAAGCCATATACTGTAGTATATCTCATATGTATGGATGGTAAAAAAGCTGCACTGTACTATAAGATGTGTCTATCTAATAGCATGGGTTTTTTAATAGTTGAAAATGTTTCTTTCTGTAGATGGACCTAATCATCTTATCAGAAAATGGCTTTGCCTCTTCTACAGATATTTTAAACTTGACTGACCAACTGAAGACAAAGAAAATGAAGAAAAAGGAAGCGGAACAAGTGCTGAAAGTTTTTGTGGAGGATAAGTGGCTCTCTGAGGTAACTGCTCTGTCTTTTCAAGTGTTCATATTTTAATAGGTCCAGCTGTTATTTTGTTATGGATGTGATGGCTGAAACCGGAGCTGTTCTTTAATGAATGATGGCAAAAATGGTTTTGTGGGGCCTGTGCTTATTGCTGCTGCAGTGATTTTTGCAGAAGAGGTAGTACATTTACAAGGAAAAAGTCCTTGGGTAGGTCTATACAGGTCAATGTGGTTTCAGTTTCTTGTACCTGAGCTAGGTGGGTATGTGTGTACAGCCCTGCACTGCAACGTACAGACATCCTTTGTACACAACAGCATGGCATACTTAAACTTGGAACAAGAGCTGTAGGGCGATCAGTGCTGTTAGTTACATTTAGAATATCCTGGAAAGCAGCGAGGGCAAACATGTTGAAAACTCCTGTACCAGAAATGCATGGGCCAGTGTGCACGTTTTTAAATCTCCTTTACTTCACGAGGGAGAAATTGAGACTAGCTTGCTGCATGGACACTGCAGTTGCTTGCCAAGAGAAGTGAGACCTCAATCCCTTTTCTCCAGGATTCGTTGCATCATAGAACTCCAACCTGCTGCCGCATGTTTACTTACATTAGAGTGATTTAACAGAAATTTTCAAAGATACCTCAAGCAGTAAATGCCTAGATTTTGCTGAAAGCCAGTGGAATTTCTGCTAATGTGCAAATGGAGGGTCCCAAAACTGCATGTCTTTAAGGAGAGCATGCTTGCTCATCTGTACCTTCTAAGGACTAGACCTCTTAAAGGTGTGAGATCTTGATTCTCATCTTCTAAACAAGTGAATTCTGCTACTTCAAAAGTATTTCAGTTTTGCATTATATCGGCGTCAGCATGTTAGTTTCATGATGGCAGAAAAAAGTGGATGTCAAATGGTTGCTAGCAGGTGGTTAGAAAAGTCAAAAAAGCTAAAAGGAATTTAATTAAGTCTTGCCACTTGTTTCCTTAGAGAAATGGAGAATATACTCTGCATACTCGCTGCATAATTGAGATGGAACAATACATTCTCAGCAACTACCAAGATGTGGCAAGGAAGTGTAACATCTGTCACAGCCTTGCCATCCAGGTAACATTTGTTTTATTACCTCAGTAGGTATCTGCCAATGTTCTTATGTGGTCATAGCTGAAGTTTGTGATACTTTACTCTGAGTAATTAGGCAGGCACTGAAAAATTCTGGTCTTGTAATCTGGTAATGGTGCCCATGTATATAAACCTCGCCCCCCGCCCCCCCCCCCCCTTTTTTTTTTTTCTTCCAGTGTAGGTATTTTATCTTCTGTCTTTGGAAAAAAAAACTTGTCTTGGAGCAGTATCTCCAAGTATAAACTTGGAGAAAGCAAACTCACCCAATGAGGAGCATGATTGTGCTGTCTTGCTTTCCAAAGCCAGCAGGCTAGAGATGAACCCCTTATCCTTAAATAGGCATAAGAGTTAGCTATCTTACATTTGGACCTTACAAACAACAGTCTTCATGTGACACACATTCATCTTTGGTCCTGGAATTTTGGTTCAGGAATTCCTTGTGTCTTTGACTTCAGAATGAACATGTATGCTTATATATAGCATTCTAAAGCACTGTATTTTGACAGCTGGTAAGTTACCAGTTTCGTCTTGCATAAGTGGTTACAGCCTGAACTCCTATTCCAAAACTACAGCATTCTCTTGCTCCTTGACCCTGCATCTTCTCATCTTCCCAACTAACATACTTCCATGTTACCTTTTCCATCCCAATTGGTTTCCTTTATTGCACCCAAATAGCTCAGTGTTGTTTGTCTTTCAAGGTAAATTTTGTCCTTATAGGGAAATGTATTTCCTAGCTTCCAGGAAAATGCCTCCTTTTATCATTTACTACCTTTCACTTGAGTATCCACCAACTGTACTGTGTGAACCATTCTTTGGAATAAAGCACTGCACATCTGCTGCCCTTTGTAACAACTTTACGTTAAGCTGAAGGACAGGTTAGAAAGGTGGTTTTTTTTATCAACACTTCTGATTTCAGAGCCAAGTATGTGAATCCTGTGGAATTGGAATGCATTTACCTTGTGTCAGAAAATACTTCAGAGCTCAGACTGAACCACGCTGTCCGCAGTGTAACGATTTCTGGTCTTGTGACATTCCAGGTACCAAGCAACCTATTAAAAAAAAAAAAAAAAATTGAGTGTAATAATACTGGAAAATGGACTGATATTCAGTGGCACTGCCTGTATTATTTATAACTGTAGCTGAATATCAGTTATTTCTGACTTCAGTTGTATGTTTCAGACAGTAAACCATTCATGGGCAACACTTGAGCCCTGAAAGTGGAAGGATTATGCCTTATGGTCACTAGCAGATCCTGTGCAGATTGTTTCTAACATCATTAAAGTGTGTTGCAGGGGATGGGGTGGGGCAGGTAGGGGACAGACAGAACATGTGACACTGAAACTTCTGCAAATACCGAGTTTCCAAGAGGAGCACAATCTCTTTGGAACTTCTCTATTTAGCCAGGGAAATTGGACATTCTGAACAGGAACATAGGAATATATAAAGCATTTTAAAAATCTGGAGGTTATACAATATCATCCTTGTTTTGTGTCATTCATCAACCTTCCTTTTGTTTTGTTTACAGGTATAAATCGGATAGACTCCCAGTCACCATCAAAAACAGGGAGAGCAGAGAGGAGCTTCATTCTTGGCACTAGACGATGCTAGTAAAACTCGCTTTCAGTGAAAACTTTTTTCCCACTTGCAGAATAGCTGGACTGTAGTAACAGTGCATTGTTCAGTGTACTTATTTTTTCCTGAAGTTTTAAGGATTTTACAATAAAACCAACATCCTGAATGAAAGAATCTTACAAAAAAAATCATTGACCTTCCTGTTCTCCTCCTTCACAGTTATGCCTGCACAGCTTTCTTGGAGGCTGCTTTGTTTATGTAGTTCTCCATATTCTTGGGTTCTGACTCTCAGTGCATGTTTGGGAATGAAAGATGCAAATGTTTTTAGTCAGTCCTGCAAGCTGATCTATGCAGGACAGATATTAGCAGAAGCCTTTCTCAGCGACAGTGTTCCCTATTCATACAGTTTCAGTTACACAAATGAAAATGCAACAGGGCTTCAAGTAAGTGAAAAATCCATGCAGTGCTTGAGGTCTCCTCACTGAGGCAGCTGGCTGAATATCTGATCTAGGGCTAGAGTCTGAACACTTTCAGTTAGCACTTTTGCTTGGTTTTTGTCCCTTCTTAGACACAGAAGAGTTCATCTGACATAAGGCCAGGTCACGAGCAGCTGTGTTCAAGAAGAGCAGAAATATTCCCATAGTCAAAATGATTGGGAAGGAGTAGGACAAGACTTTTGGGGCAATGCCAGCTTCTGCCTGCAAAGTGGTGAAAAAAATTACCATCTTCAGATTCTTTTAGTTTTTAGTGTTAGCACTTCCCTTGCCAGTTTTATGTAAGGATGCTTTTTCCTTTAAGAGTGACTTGAAAAAAAGACAAGGACTAGATACTGCCAGGTACCAGAATGGAATGGTAGCATATCTTTTCCTTGGTAGAAATGTGTGACGCTGCACAAGGCAGAGTATCAGCAGTTCAGCTCATGGTTAATCAAAGTATGATTAAGCTTCAGTTTATTTAACTGCAATTAAACTATGGATTAACTACAATTACGTTCCTAGGCCTTAACACCAGTAACTTTCTCCATATAGGAGATTAGTATCTTTCATATTGAACGTTTGGGTAACACCATCCCTCATTGTTTACATAACTCCCAAATTTTACTGTTATTAAATCCAAGTAGAAGATAACACCAACCTGATGTTCCAAATACAGTTTGAAGCAGAGTCCTGGCAGTGCCTGTATATAAAGCTGTTTCAGATGTACACACACATACAAGATGATGGCCTAACAGATGCTCTTTATGAGGAGTTCATGTTAGAAGCATCTACAAAAATAAAGTGGCTGTAGCATCTTCTTTCCATTTACCCATCCAGATTCTTTCACCATGCTGAAGCAAGAGTGTGGTGTTTTTTGGTGTTTTTTTTTAATCCACCTCAAACCCCTGGACAGGGAAGAACATTCTCATGCTTAAAAAGAATTCTCTTGTGAGAAGATACCAGATGCTACTTTTTCTGATTTTTAATTCCTATTACAAAGCTCACAGACTTTATGCGTGCTTCAGAGCTATGACCACCAGAAACTGACAGAGAAGCTGATATCAAGTGATCGTACATAGTGCCAATATTTAACTGGAATAAACAGAACCTGTCCTGGCATCAGAATACAGGACTGAAATGTGGCCTTTCTGAAATTGGGAAACTTAACTAAGTCAGGATCTTCCACGTCAACCTATAAAAAACCAAAAACAATCATCAGTAGAATGTCTTTACTCAAATATGATTTGATAAAGTAACATTACTGATATTAAAATTTCAGGCAACTATTTACCTGACTAGTGTTGTGAAGAATTTGGCTTTCATGTGGGTACAGGTTTTCTGAATCTTGTGGAGAACATAGACAGATATACTTTCTTCCAAATACCTGTATACATTACAATAAATGTTTTCCATCTGTCATTAACCTGCACATGACTGGGAACTGTGAGCCATAGCTGGCATTTAACAGTAAAATATACCCGATTACAAGAAATATTGTTATCTTTGTTAGTAATAAACAGAGACTGGTATAGTAAAAAGTTAAATCAGACTATTGGAATTCAAGTACCTGTTCCCTTAGAGCAGATAAGAATTCAGAGTCCCAGGAAATGCCTTTAACCAAATTATTTTAAATTCGAAGTTTAAGGCACCCAATTGATGCAATGTTATTTGGGCTCTAGGTAGCTAGAAAGTAGTTAGAAGAACTGAGAAGAAGGAGGTTGAGTCTTCAGTGCAGTTCACATCAGCAAGCAGAGGCACCCACACAGAGTGACTGCTCAGCTTCCATATACTCCTTTGGCTCTTACTTCTGTGTCATTGTCATGGTTTAACCCCAGCCAGCAACTAAGCACCACGCAGCTGCTCACTCACTTCCGCTCCCACCCAGTGGGATGGGGGAGAAAATCAGGAAAAGAAGTAAAACTCGTGGGTTGAGATAAGAACGGTTTAATAGAACAGAAAAGAAGAAACTAATAATGATAACGCTAATAAAATGTGCTTGTGGCCTAGAAGATTACATTGAGCATTAAAAGTTGCAGTAGTGACACATGCAACAGAATAGCAAAATAATACCTACGTAGTCTCTACCCTTCAATGGTTCATCAAGTTGTCTGCTACCTGTCTCTAACACTTACATACCGTAAGCATTTTTTTGAGCTATAGCATTAATGGCATGTGTAGAGCAAGTAGAATACAGACCTGGGCTAAAAAATTTTGCTGGGGATCCTGATGAAGAGGTGAGATAGTGCCTTCTGGACCAAACCAAGCGTTAATGGTGATGTCATCTTCTTCCCCTTCCCCCAGGCAGCAGTAATCAGGGATACTGATATCCTCTTTCAGTTCTGGGATCTACTCCCATAAAGAAATAAAACATTAAAAAAGGTATGTGCTGACTTGCCAAAGGTATGTAATTCATAGAACAGAGGAACAAGGCTTGACATAAAGAAAGCAAATGACCTGCTTGTCCAGCAAAGGCAGGAGAGAAGCAGCTGAACTGCTAGGAATCTGCAGGAAATGTCCTCACACTTTCTGTCCTAGCTAGCAGATTCTGCTGGAAGGAGAGGTGGGAGAAAGGGGTTTCTCATTCTTCAGAGACCCTTTGCTTTAGCAGAAACCAGAGAAACCCCCAAGAATAAGCAGGTTTGCTCTTCATGGAAAAGGAATAGATGAGCTTTTATACACTGAGCTTGCTTCTCCGTGAGATTCCTTTTTAGGTCTCCCAGCAGCCTAACCTCTGGTTAACTGGAACAACGTTTCAGAATACGGTGAACATATCACCACCGAAGACTGTTTCCTGTCCAAATCTCTTCCCTGACTTACATATTCTTTGGGGAAATGCTGCTTTCCAGGCGATATCCCTATAAGTATATGCTACATTGTACCGAAACAGCACTAAGATTGAATATCTTCACCCCTGAAAGGGTTTTGTTTCCATGCCTTTCAGCCAATGGAATAAACCCCTCCCTCTGTTCCTTCAAATCGTGGGAATAGAAGCTTAAGAAATACTGTGAATTCTCCCTATGCCCTTCCATCTAGTAAAGTTGACATCCTCAGAGATGACTTGTGCTACAAAGGGAACGCTTGACTGCAAAAAGATAAAGACATTGACTCAGTTTTACCTGATCAAAAAGCTGGTGCTGGGCAAGGTATCCCACACTGTTCTGAAATTACAGCAGAGAAAGAAAAAAAATGCAGTGACATACAGGGTAAGACTTCTCAGTCAGTTAATTTACTTATAGGTAACATCCATTTCCAATGTCCTATTTCATAGTACTAGAATTGTTTTAACAGTTAACTAGTATAAGGGGTCTTCTGAAATAGTAACTTAAGAGCTACACTAAAATTTTAAGAGTGTAGATATATCCCCATGATCAACAAATTATCTAGCTCAGATTACTGGAAGAAGCCTAGCTATAATCCTATGGAGTCTCGACAGTTCTATTGTCAATCCTGTGACAACACTGTGCATCTTTATAGCTAGACCCTGCTGGTACACAGGCTAATTCACCGTCACTCCCCACAAGTATCTTGACATTCTGTTCCAGGCTGCACCGTGGACTAATTTGCAATGGCACATGGTCCTTCCTGACAAAAGACTAGGAAACAGAAATGAGGGCTTCAGACCCTCACCTGTGAAAGTAAAAGGACATTCAATTGCTAATCAACTTTCTATTTTTTTTACCTGGTGGCATGTGAATTTGGGTCTTGATCCTAGATCTCACTAAGCAGTTTAATAATCAAGAGGAACAAAACTCCTGGCTGAGGATCCCTTATCCTTAGACTCCACCATTCCTGCTTTTGCTGCAGAAGCTATCTATCTATTAATCAAATTCCAGCTGCTGTACATTTGATTATATATAAAAATCAAACCTAGCTATTGTTGCAATAACTATTAGTAGCTTCAGGTCTTGAAAACATGTCAAACCTTTTAATTCAGAGTTGAGCTTATAGCATACCCCTCTCCCTTGACATCACCTGTAAGCATGTTTGTTCTAAGCAGAAATTCTGTACCAGTAACACACTGCTGTATTTGGAGATGCAAAAAACCAAGAATCAACAGACCTCATTCACAATATACTGGTTGATGAAGTCACTAACAGTCATGAGCTTCTGAGACCATTCCTCATCTGTGTATCGGGTACCCAATTCCACGGGGACTGTGCGGCACCCTGCGACTTGACAAAAATAGTCCACGCTGAAATAAAGAAAGTTCCATTACCCTTTTATACTGCTCTTCTTACTAATTTTGAATGTAAGGCAATCAATCAAAATCAATCTTTTAGAGTAATAAAACTCTACTACCACGAGATTCTTCTCTCTAAAACCAACCAACCAGAGACAAAAGGCAGCAGAAAAGGATGCAAGCAGCAAGGAAACACGCAGTCAAGCTTGTGTGTATACTATGCCACAATTGTCTGTTTTGTTTTAGACCCCTGTTTACCTCAGCTAACTATTGTTTCCTAATGAGCTGAGCAGATTTAAGCTGTTGGTCTCTCTTGCCTAGGGATAGCTAATCTTTTTGCTGCCTACCGCCACATTTGCTAAATAAAATGTTTTATCTTTTTATCATTAATGCTAGATCAGCTCTCTGTCAGTGCCAAATTCTGTGTACAGGCGCCAATAATATCCATTCTGGCTAAAGTCAGAGGAATTACTTTGACGGGTGGTATACATCTCTCCACTGATGATGATATTAACTAAAT